GGGACCCCATTGATCCTAAGAAAAGCCTGTAATTTGTAAATATCACTTTCAAGTAATTCCCTTTCAGGAAAAGGGCGAGGTGGGGAAAGGAAAGGAGAAGATGAAAAGGGCTTTTAATGTGAGTGTTAAATTGTGCGTCTCTTTGGGTACGTGAGTTGCATTTCCAGCTCTTCCCCTGCCAGCCATGGCATTCCCGTGAGAGAGACTAAAGGTTGGGGACCAAAAATAAAGAAGAGTAGAACAAAAGAAAATATAATATCAAGGATGGGGTGAGATGAGGTGGGGTGGGGAGTGTTATTCTTACCTTACAAATGTATCCCAGTAGGTTATTCTATCCCCCTAGCCCCCAGTCCTCCCTCTACTCTGAGAGAGGGACTGTATTCCACCACCTTTTCTTCTACCCGTCATAGATTTCAATTTGCTTTTTTTGTGACAGATAATTCATATAGGTCTCATTAGATTTTTCTTGATTGATTTGATTGATAACTGCTTTTTACTGCTACTTTATTTGTGATCTGCCTGAATTTTGGGGCAAAATGGATAATTGTGGCAAACCAATTGTATTCACCGGTTAAGATTATCAAATTCGATCTTGTTCTTAGATCTGGGTGCCTGTAAATATGTATTCTTTTGATCATCTTTTCTCCATGCTTTATTCTTTTCATTTCTTTTTTCCTATCTGTAATATTCTACTTTCTCTGAATAATATGGCAGATTTTGCTGAGGAAAGGATCTCCTTTTGGGGGTAAATGATGCAATTTATTAGTAGATGAAATGTGGGTTCCATGTAAGCCTGTGTAGAAGTGTGTTTGTAGGTATTATTTGGAAAAATAGAATATCAATGTGGTTTAATCTGCACTGTTTGGATGGATGTACGTGAATTAAAGCGAGCATTAAAGAAGCTATCAACAGCAGATACTATTAGAACACCAGCATCGGTTCCTGCTGATAACAGAAATGCAGCCAGCGGGCGGGCCCGAACTAGAGAAGTTAGTTCTAGGTATAGGTCACCTTCTCCATCTGCAGTGTCTGGCACCATATGCAGCTCTTCGCCGAATTCCACTAGGCCATCATCGGCCTCAACCGTGTCAACACAAAGGCGGGCTGTATCAGCCGATAGGAACCGCCCCTCTAGACCATCATCCCCACCTGGCCAATCTTCATCAACACCAATCAAGGATACAGCTGCAGAAACATTATTGGTATCAAGAAAATCTGTAGGCCATAGGTTGCCGGAGTCTTTATGGCCATCTACAATGCGGAGTCTAAGCGTTTCATTTCAATCTGATTCCTTCTCTCTTCCTGTTAGTAAGAGAGAAAAACCAGTATCTCATACTCATTCCGATCGAACTTTGAGGCCATCTTCAAATGTAGTACATAGGCAAGGTGAAACACCTTCTTCTAGGAAGCCTACGCCAGAGAGGAATAGGAATCCGCTGAAGGGAAAGATTTCTACTGATCAGTCTGAGAATTCTAGACCTGTAGATAGTTTACATTGTCGACTAGTGGATCAACATCGATGGCCAAGCAGAACAGGTGGGAAAGTATCATCCAACGCTTTAAACAGAAGTATTGATTTCACTGATAAGATGAGCAAAACTTCATCTTTACCCCGTTCGGGTATGGTTACCCCTCCGTTGAGAAGATTATCTTTGGATGGGGCAAGTATACCTTTACAAAAATCTGCCAGTGACTTATTGACGCTAGTATCCTGTGATGAAAATGGAAAGGCAACTATGAAGGGTAGTTCGGTTGATGATACTTCACTACGGACGCAAAAGCTTGGGTTTTCAAGGTCACTGGTCAGGACACCTTCAGTGAATCCTGCAGCTAGATCCCATTCTCTGTCAACTGGATCGCGTCCCCCATCACCCTCTGTGTCTAGAGGGGTCAGTCCTTCACGAACGAAGGCTGTCAATCCTCCTCCTTCTAGAGGACCCAGTCCTGCTCGGGTAAGACCATCTAGCCCATCCAGACAACCTCAGACTTCGACTTCTGTTCTCAGCTTTATTGCTGATATTAAGAAAGGAAAGAAGGCTGCAAATCACATAGAAGAAGTCCATCAATTGCGGCTATTATATAATAGACACTTGCAATGGCGATATGCAAATGCCCGAGCAGATTTTGTGTTACATTGTCAGAAAGCAAAAGCAGAGGTTTGAGCTCGTATCTTTCTGTAGAGTTACCATGCCTGTTAAACATTTTGCATACATATATCCTTCTCAATCCCATTCGATTTCCTTTTCCTTTTCCTGCTTTTGCTTGTATGTGTGTGTGTGTTTTTTTATTTAGTTACAAGTTCCTTAACTATAATTTCGATGGTGCAGCAAAAATTGTACCGTGTGTGGAGGACAATTTCAGATCTGTGGGATTTGGTAATTGAGAAAAGGATTGTCCTTCGGCAGCTGAGACTCAAGTTGAAGCTATGTTCCATATTGAACAATCAAGTAAGTCTTTCTTACTATAAAATTTCTTCCCATTTTCTTTTAATCAATAGTTGACTTGGGTTTGAATACCTTGCATAGGTTTAGTATGATCTTTGAATGCTGGAAAGTACAATGAAGAACGGACATTTATACATTGTGATGAAATAACATGTATAACATAGCAGATATTTATCTCAGTACAATGTACTTCAAGCCTGCAGGATAATAATTATACAAGTATAAAAATTTCTTCATGTGCTTATACAAGAAATTGTATAAAAACTACTTATCTGGTATCTGGGGCTACAGTAGTATGCCATATCCAGCAACTCAGAGATGAAAATAGAAATAGATATATTAGTTGTTATTCATTAATATAATTGGGGTATTATGTGGTCAGAATATCATTTCAAAAAGTAATTGGACTGTAAGGGACATTAAGAAGTCTATTGTGTTTATTTCAGGAATTGGTATCATTTGTTTGCAAGGGTTGACTTATGCAGAAAACGCCTTCTGAAATCAATAAATATTCGAAAGTGAGATGAGATAGAATCTACCTCAATTTCTCATAGATGGAATTAGTTATTTGTTATTATAATTTGTTCTGTATTGCAACAATGGACACAGGTTTTTAGGTCTCAATATGAGTAATATCCTAGACATTCTATATTAGAACTCTATTTTGTTATGGATCTTGCTATATAGTGGTTATACAAGTTCTGCCTGGAAACTAGAAGCGTCGTGCAAATGACGACATAATCAATAATCTGGCCCGGGAGGGAAAGGACTTCGTAATTATCGAAAGGGATGGAGTTATAATGAAATAGTCAAATTTTAATTGAGAGCTGTTCTGATTAGTAGCTACACATAAAAAAAGTTGATATTAGTGTTTGCACAATAGATATGCCTTCTTTTTTTTTGCGTTTGTAGTTGATTGCTATTTTTATTGATTTGACTAGTAGCTGTGGACATTGTTGATTTCGGGAAAATGAGTTATTAGAAAAGAGGTAATTGGAAGTTGGAAGACCTGGTTACCAGATTTTAGATAATAAAGTAATTTCAAAAGGAGAATTAAAATAAGAACTTGACCGGAATGCCTTGAGTTCTTTGGTGGTCTGTTATGCTTTATAATTTGAAAGCATCACAAGTGACCTCTAGAAAGGGGAAGTTGATTAAATTTTCTACTAGTCAACAAAGAACCAGCAATATGAAAGCGATAGCAAATGAATGATGTAATGAAAATATTAACACTATGAGAGTATGATGTGCCTTTTTACATTCCATCACAAAACCAGATAAGAAACTCGTGTCCTTTCTTGCTTGTTTTTGTGCAATAAACTAAAAAAAACTGTCAATTGCCATCATACAGATATCTGTGATTCTTCATGGTTTCTCTTAATAATTTGATGTGGCTGGCCCACTAATTGGGTAAATTATTAGCATTGACCACCCATTAAGGGGATTCCTATCGTATCATCAGTCTACTTATTGCAGTCATCAGTTGATTTATTAAAATTAGATTTCTTTCTCCCCCCTCCTCTTACGAACATTCTATGAGAGTCCAAAGCATTTTTTAATCATTAAAAGCCTATATCTGAATTAGCATGGAGAATTGTGAGCTAATCTGTTGCATGCTTTCTTATGTGCTACAGACAAAGCCGCAAACACAAAGGAAATATATTTGTAGTTTCATAATGAAATTTGGCTTCCCTCCACCGGCAATGAAATTCCTGGTCATATCCGTTGCTGCTCAACATCTTATAAATTCCTCTCTTAGGTCTATTCTTATAAGTTCTTTCTTGCAATGTTTAAAAAGGCTAATTTGGATATTCACGTGTTTTATCTCCATGAGGCAAGTGTAAGCCTTGAGGCGCTCTAAGGAATAAAGCCTCATGATAGAACAATTTAAGAATTTAAAAAAATGTGAAGATACAAAATTGTACCCGTAATATACATAAACTCCTTCAAAATGTTAGGTTTTTTGATACCCAATAAGTCCCGAGCAATAACGTTACACAATGTCGGATTGTATTTCATAGACTGTGGCCGATGAGTGAAATTTATCAACCAATCAATTCATATGTTTGACCCAAAAACAACGTGGACCACTAGTAGCAACTTAATTGGTTTTAATGTTGCCTTAACGCAAATTCACTTATACGAGGGCTTCCCTATGTCTTGGCCCAACCTTTTGTATTGTAGCCCAATTGAAATTATACCTAAAGCTATATATACCAACTCTTTTGCGTAGAAACTGCGTGTGTGTTTGCCCTTGTTTGAGAAGAGAGAAAACGGGTTCTCCTTTGTGACCTTATTCAAGTTCTTGCCTTTTTGTCTTTTCTTTGCCCTTGTAGCTTGCAATCACCACCATACTGTTGTCCCTTTGTGGGTGAGAAAAGAAGAATGCAATCGTAAGTGAATTGAGTTGTGGGTTTGAAGTTTTGGATGGTTGGTTGATATATTGATTGGTAAGTTTAATCTGAGCTCGGAATCTACATATTGAAGATCCATTCCGCAACACTAAACAATTCATAAGAAAACTATTTTACAAAGTTAAAGTCTAACTACAAACAAAAATTAAATCGATCAAGAAAGTAGAAAATAATAAGTTCTCAAATTAGTAATCATGTAACAAAATTATGACTTATTAATAAAAGTGGAGGCAACTCAAAAAATTCTTATATAATCACTACTAATATGTTCTTTTGTGGAACCATTAACATTGTAATCATCCTTGTTATAAGTTTATTTTCGTTCTTTGTGATCACCCTACAATTGCAATGGCGTATTCTCATTCCCATTTTCCTTCCGTGTAGGTAGAAAAATGAAAATGAAAGACCCGCTTAACATTTTAGGTTTAAGAAAAAACTTAAAAAACTAGAGCTAAAAATTAAATGTTTGAAAACTTCAAGGCAAACGGGCAAACACCTTAGTTGGCTTGATGTGTAAGCCTCACAAATGGCATTTAAGTTGCAGGTTTTGAGGTGTTCTATGGTAGCCTCACATGAAGCAGGATTCGAGGCAATAAGCCTCAGATATTGTTTTAAACCGTAATATTTTTGTTATTTGAAACTTAAAAGATAAAGAAAAGTACGTGAACTAAAACCATATTCCCTTTGGTGATGTTTGTCTGATCTTCTCATATTTACACATTCATTCATTATGCTTATTTATGTCTAAATATATTTATTTATTCCTGGGTCTCTTCATTGTATCTCACATCTTTTAAATTTTTAATGCAAATACAACCTGCTCAGCTGACCTGTCTTGATGAGTGGGCTTTTATTGAAAGGGACAACACTAACTCATTATCATCAGCTATCCAAGATCTGCGGGTTAGCACTCTCCATATTCCATTCACTGGAGGAGCCAAGGTACATCAGTTGATAAGTTCTGGAGGCTCAATTTCATAAAAAATGAGAAATCAATAATTTATCCAATCTACATTTTTGCAGGGAGACATCGAAACTGTTAAGGCAGCTATTTACTCAGCCGTTGATGTGATGCAGTCAATAAGATTCTCCTTATGTTCCATACTTTCACGGGTGAGATCATTTCTGCTGCTTATTTTTCAGAGTCTACACGTTGTCAACATGAGATCGATAATTCTTTTGTACTGTTATGTCACCTCCACCATCATCTTATAATTATTTTAGACTCCAATAAGGTTCACCGATAGATCCAGCGCAAATAAACCTTATCACTCATTGATTATGGTGATTCACAAATGTTGAGACTTGGAGTTCCATCTTAAAAGGTCAACATTGTTAAGAAGAGTAGTCCAAGACTTTTTAAATTGGTCTATGTTTTCATATTTATTCGATGTGGGATTATATCTTTTAACATGCGGCTGGTTTGAGCATACCAATTTTAAAATCTGTGTGCTTATTTTTGAATCTTAATCAGATCTTGAAATCCGTATGCTCATTTTTAGTTTTAATTGAATCAAATTGCTCGTTAGAACTTAATGGGTTTTGATATTATGTTAAGACTTAGGGTTCAATCTTAAAAGGTTAACCTTGTTAATAAGAGTAGCTCAAGACCTTTTAAATTGGTCTATGCTTTCCTCTTTATTCGATGTGGGATTATATCCCTTAACAACAAACACAGCCACTATCCATAGAACATTTTTTTAATGGATCCCCGGTCGAAACTCATCAAGATGGATTAGACCCTGACTTTTGATAAGCACATAGCCATATACATAGGAAACTTGTGTATTGTGGCTTTACCCTTCAATATTGTAAGGTGGTTGGCTCTTGCAGCCTTAAATGCATTGGCATAAGGATATTAGGATGGGCTGGTTAAAACCCTTAATGATCAACCTTTTGGTTAAGCTGATAGTTTTTGTTGCTTTTTATTGTTACCCAATAACCTGTTTCATGTTCACTTAATACATCATCGACAAATGAGGTATGGTCCCACCAGACCAAAGTCTAAAGTTTTGAAAACATCATTTGTTCTTGATGATTTTAAGCGGGTGTTTGGCCCCCATTCTTAGCTAATTTTAATGGATGGAATACTTTTTTTTTGAAAAATGTGTGGTTGAAAAAGAATGAAAAGTTTTTGATTTGTGTGTAATATTATTTTATGGAAGATTGTGTGGTTGAAAATAAGAGAGAGAAAAAGAATGAGAATGAGATAAGAATGGGGGCCAAACATGGGCTAAATATGTGAGGAATGGAGAAAGAAAGGGAAGCGGTCAGAATGGGGGGATGCAGATGGCGAGGTTGCTGTTTTTCCCTTCTCTTTTATTTATTTATTTAAATTGAAATTATTTGTGTTTAACTGTGGTGTAGAAACTTCTGAAACCATTTTAGGGCTTGGTTGGGTCCTTGCTTTTTCAAGCCTGCATACACTTCCAGTTGAATATTGACATATTTTTCATTTGCTCATAACTATTTCCACATCCAGTAGATCCATGTGCACACTTTTGTTTCCTTCCAATAATTTACCGTTTATGATCATTTTAAATAATTCAATTTGATTTGGTCATACAGGTTCAAGGGATTAATTGCCTGGTTTTTGAACTTGCTGATGTAGCAGCCCGAGAAAGAGCCTTGCTTGATGAATGTGAATCACTTTTGGCTTCTACAGCTGCAATGCAGGTGAAAAAATGTTGTCCTACTATTACATTGAATTCTTCAATTTTCTTTTGTCTTCTCTTGCACATTTATATAGTCATTACGAACCAACACAGCTGTTGTATTATGAGCATGTAGCAAGAGCTATAATTATATAAAAATTCCACCTCTTGAGTGTAGTGTCTTTTCATGGTTATGTTTTAACTTCAGCACTTTGTTAGTGTTCAGGTATCCAATAAGTAGTGGTTTGCTTAAAGCATGTTCCTTCTGTTTCTTTCTATGATGTTTAATAAACAGTTCCTAATTGTATCGATTTAGATAATACACCACCAAAATGATTATCATCATAATGTTTTTGGGGTTTGGGTGTCTTGTTTGAGATCTGATTCTTCTTCCGTGGTCAAGAGTTGTGACATGCTGACTTGTTCGAGTAGGTTTTCAATAGTCAGAGCTCTTTAGTGCATGTTTGGTATGGAGCATTGGATCGTACTCATAGTACGATAGGCAAGTATTTAGCTACTTTTCTTCCTTGACATTGTCTGGTATCATATAATCCACTTTTCAAACATATCATTATCAGGGGCGGACCTAGGGGGGGTTTTGTAGGGGCAATTGACCCTCTAGATTTGGGGGGGGGGGGGGGGGGTTTTTTTTTTTTTTTTTTTTTTTTTTTTTTTTTTTTTT